TATATCAAATGGACTTAACAGACATCTACCGAGTATTCCACCCAAGCACTATAGGACATATTCTCTACTCAGCACCCCATGGACCCTTTTCCAAAATCGACCATATACTGGGGCACAAAACAAACCTCAACAAATACAAAAAGACTGAAATAATTCCATGCATTCTATCAGACCACAGTTCAATAAGGCTTACAATCAACACTGGAAGAAGCCCTAACAACCACATGAACACATGGAGATTAAATAACACACTCCTGAATGATGAATGGATCAGAAGAGGGATTAAGAAAGAAATAAACGTATTCTTGGAACTAAATAAAAAGGACAATACAACATAACAAAACCTCTGGGACACGCTAAAAGCTGTCCTTAGAGGGAAGTTTATAGCTCTAAGTGCCTACATCAAAAAATCAGAAAGAACACAAATAAATGACTTAACGTTGCAACTCAAGACACTTGGAAAGCAACAGCAAATGAAACCCAAACCCAGCAGACAAGAAGAAATAACAAAAATCAGATGACAAATTAATGAAACAGAAATTGAAACAGTAATACAAAACCTCACGACTAAAAACAGCCCAGGACCAGATGGACTTACAGCAAAATTCCATCAGACGTTTAAAGAAGATCTACAGCCGATATTTCTTAATTTATTCAAAAAGCTAGAAACGGAGGGAGAACTTCCAAATTCCTTCTATGAAGCTAGCATCACTCTAATACCAAAGCCAGGTAAAGATACAGCCAAAAAAGAAAACTATAGACCCATATTCTTAATGAACACAGATGCAAAAATTCTCAACAAGATACTTTCGAAACGCATCCAGACACACATCAAAAAGATCATCCACCATGATCAAGTTGGCTTTATCCCAGAGATGCAGGGAAGGTTCAATATACGTAAGTCAATAAACATCATAAATCATATAAATGGGCTCAAAGACAAGAACCACACAGTCATCTCAATAGATGTAGTGAAGGCCTTTGACAAAATTCAACATGCATTTATGTTCAAAGTCCTAGAGGGAATTGGACG